ATTTTACGTGGGAGAAGACCCGAATAACCAAAGACCTACATACGAACACCCGCGAAAACCTGAGAAAACAATCCCATGTGCTTCCTGCCCATCAACATACATTGGACAGACCAACAGAAGAATGAGTGTGCGCATCGAGGAACACAAAAACTCAATACAAAAGCAAGAACACACATCATCATTAGTTCAACATATAAATACAACAGGACACAACATTAATTTTAATAAAACAAAAACAGTTGCAAAAATAGAACATCTCAATGGCAGGATAATCAGAGAAGCAATAGAAATGGAAAAAAGACCATATTGCATGAATAAACGGGATGACACTTCACGTCTGCCTACTATTTGGAAACCTGCTCTCATAGATAGACGAATCTTGACACCATATGTGGAACATGGACCAAACATTGCACAAAAAAATCCCAACCAAATCATATTCAAACCAGCCACAAAGATAAAGCCCTGCCACCTAGTGGAGAAAAACCGACCATATACCCGAAGCCAAGCCAATAAACACATACTGGGACTCCCAACCAATCAGAATGAAAAGGTGGAGCCATCCCAGAATACCAGCACCAGATTTGAAATTCCAACGTCAGTTAGTGCAAAATGACTACTGGCATAAGCCTGATGATGGCAGATGGGATTCTGCCGAAACGTCGCTTCTACCCTTTTAGGGATATATCCACAATTACACGGGAAGAAACCCGAAATATTAACTATACACACATACATACCCGTGAAAACTTACATAAACAAATATCAAACCTCTACGGGGAGGAGATGTATAAACTTACCAGAACTTATGAGAAGTTAGAGATAAAAAGATCTCGAATATTGTGTGATTTAACACTTTTATGTCAATGTCGTGACCAAAATATAATACCATCTTGCTTTAAATTGAAGTTCCATACCCACACAACATCTATCCAACGTATTCTTAAAATAACTGAAATGGCATTACTTAGAAATGAAATCCATAGCAAAAGATTCCTATTAGATCAAGTAAACAAGGATTTATTAGCTTCATACTTAAAGATAAGCAATATTATTCACCCCATATTATGGGACAAAATAAAACAGCACAATCCAATATTTTCTTAATGACTTCTCTCTCTGTAGGGATTTTCTCTGCTTTCCATCTTTGTGCAAATACTATCCTCGCTGAAGTTATAACATGTACAATCAAATATGTATTTTCTTTAATAAATTTCTCTGGTAAGATACCCAATAGGAATAGTTCAGGTTTTAAATCCATATGTTGTTTGGAGGACCAGAAGATTGAAGATCTGGCTCAATAGTAGGAACTGCAAAAGGGATCTTGGAGTCCGCGTGGACAGTAACTTAAATAAGCAAGAGGTTGGATTAGAAGACCTCCAAGGTTCCTTTCAACTCTGTTTTTCTATTCTATTCTAAATATGAGCCAGTGATGTGTTGCAACTGTCAAAAAAAGCCAATGAAATCAGGGGTGGGTTCTAAATTTTTTTGTACCGGTTCTGTGGGCGTGGCTTACTTTGTGGGCGTGGTTTGATGGTCATGTGACAATTCTTTAGGATTTAGCACAGGTACTGGTCTACCAGGCTTTTAACTGCTTGCAGAGCTGTACTGGTCTACCCATTTGTTCTTGGAAGCACCGGTCTACCCATTTGTTTTTGGAGGCACCGATCTACCCATTTGTTTTTGGAGGCACCGGTCTACCCATTTGTTTTTGGAAGCACCGGTCTACCCATTTGTTTTTCGAGTGCTCTGGTCTACCACCACACTGCCTTTTAACACTGATCAGCTGTAGGGCGGCCCTTTGAAGCCCCACGGCAAGAGTTTAAACAGTTTTTTTCCTTCTAGCTGATTAGCTGGGATTCGTGAGGCAGCAAATAGATTGGGGGCGGGGCCAAATAAAAGGTAAGAATAACGCGGGGGTGGTGGGAGGACCCAGCTCCCGAACAAAGAGTGATGTCATATTGTCTCCGCTACCGGCTCGGCTAAACCGGGCCGAACCAGGAGGAACCCACCACTGAATGCAATCCTAGATTGCGTTAAGAGAATCAAGATCACATAAAAGTGTTAGTATCACTTTATAATGACTTACTAAGACCACACTTTGAATATTGCATCCAGTTTTGGTCATCACGATATAAAAAAAGATGTTGAGACTCTAAAAAGAGTTCAGAGAAGAGCAACAAAGAGGATTAGGGGACTGGAGGCTAAAACATATGAAGAACAGCTGCAGGAATTGGATATGTCTAGTTTAATGAAAAGAAGAATTAGGGGTGACACAATATTGTCACAGTATTCCAGTAATCCAAGAGAGAAGCAACCTGGAATTAAGGAGAAACTTCCTTACAGTGAGGACAATCAACCCATGGAACAGGAGTTGCCTTCAGAAATCGTGGGCGCTCCATCACTGGAGGTTTTTAAGAAGAGACTGGACAGTCACTTATCTGAAATGGTATAGGTTCTTCTGCTTGAGCAGGGGGCTGGACTAGAAGACCTCCAAGGTCCCTTCCAGCAAGCTCTTCCACTGGTTAATTGTCCTCACTGTTAGGAAGTTTCTCCTTAACTCCAGGTTTCTTCTCTCCTTGATTAATTTCCAACCATTGTTTCTTGTCCTGCCTTCCGGTGCTTTGGAGAATTAATTTGACCCCCTCTTCTCTGTGGCAGTCCCTCAAACACTGAAATACTGCTATCATGTCACCCCTAATTCTTCTTTTCATTAGACTAGCCATACCCAAAACCTGCAGCCATTTTCCATATGTTTTAGTTTTATTGTATGGTGGGCATCTCTGTGGAATATATATGATTTAGCAATAAAGAAAAGTGTTTTTATATGTGTGAAACTTCATATAGGAGAAGGATTGGTAGAACCTGGGGTTGGCATTAAAAAAAAGAATCAGCCAATAATGGCTAAGCAGCCACAAGCAGCCTTAGTCCAACCTCCCTTGAATTCAGTTGATTTGATTATCTAACTCCAAACAGGTGCTAACCATTAGTTTGAGAAGATTCCTCAGCATAGACTTGAGTAGCAGTTATTCCATTTAATTGGATCTTCACCTGTGGACCTGGCCTTTCTGCTGCTTCTGAAGGCAGCATCCAGTTTCTGAGAGTTGATATTTACTCACAAATATTGATGGGACACCAAGTTCTAACCCAGTTTCACCCAAATGTTTATTTATTTATTTATTTATTTATTTTGCCAAAAAGACAAGACAGACTGTTTCCTGTCCTTGTTCAAAATCCTGTAAATGCCTTTTGTGGCTTAAGAGGGACAGTATCAGAAGGAACACATGCGTTGCTACCATCAACTTCCTTATCCTTCCAGCCTGAGGTAATCCATCCATCCAGACGTCTGATTTATCAATATGCTGCTTCTTTGAACTGGTATGCTGGAATATTTTAAAATATGTAAAAAAGTGTTATTTTTTAAACCCTATTTAAAATGTGGTTTTGGTTGTTATTCCTGTTGTTCTGAAATAGTTTTAGACTGCTATAAATCCTACACAGAAAACTCTGTTTTAAAGGGGGGCACACCAACTCAAAAAGCATAATAAAATAGCCAGGGTAAGAAATAAATAAATGAATAAAAAAAACCTAGCCCCTTTTAGGAAAATTCCTCCTTTGCTGAGCATACAATACTAAAGTTTCCATTGATGTAAGTTAGGAGGTTGATTTTATTTACCAAATATTATGAACCAAAAGAACAATCAGGACTTGGATAAATTGGATAATGAAAATAACAATGGGTAAAAATAAAAATAAATGTGTGGTGGTGGTGGAGGGAATTTATTGTGTTTTGTACAAAATTTCACAACTTCTATAAAAATCTCTGTAGATCAGTCACTTAATAGCAATTTTTTTTTAAAAAAAAATGCAATTTTAGTTCATAAGAACATGGGACTTTCATTCAACCGTTGGGTCTAAACTAAGGTGACCAGACGTCCCGCTTTTGGCGGGACAGTCCCGCTTTTGAGCAATTTGTCCCGCGTCCCGCGGCGTTTTAAAAAAGTCCCGATTTTTCATTCTGCTCCTGACTCCCGGCTGCCTCCTGAATCCCCGCTGATGGCTAGAGGGAAAAAAAAGTCTTTAAACTCTTGCCGCGGGGCTTCAAAGGGCCGACCTACAGCTGATCAGTGTTAAAAAAAAAATGAATAGACCCATGCCTGCAAAAATAGAAAAAACAGCCCCTGTTAACAGCTTCCGCTAGGTTAATTAGCTGCAAAAAGCTGCAAAAAGTTCCTGGAGCAGATTTTTTTCCCCCTAGCTATACTGAAAACAAAGGCGAAAGCAAAACTAAACCTGCAAGGTGACAAAATGAGGCAGAGAGAGATTTCTTTCTTTTTCTTTTTCTTTTTCCTCACCAAAAAAGGTAGGTACAAAACTGCAAACAATGGGAAATTTTGGGCAAAAGAGGAGAGTTCAAGATTTTAAAACACAAAAGAAAAAAAGCTCTATTTAACTAGGGAATTGTAATAATTGAGATACTATTAATAATTGTATATTGTGTTGAAAGCAGAAATGGTTAAGTTGTGGTTTGGAGGAATATATGGGGGAAATTATTTGGTTTATTATTATTGGTAAATATAATTAATTGATTTGTAAGAAATTGGATTGCATGGAAATAATTGGAATATTCATGTTCATATTGATTAATATACAAAAAAGATAGTTATATAACTAATTGATTTATATTAAAATGTTGAATTTGTATTAAACAACTGTATTACATAATTACATAATTAATCTTGCTTCACAACAGAACATTTGGCTCAATTATGATTATGTTGAAGACCACCCCCCCGTATTGAACATTTCTATCTTATTAATGGGCTTGTTGCTTCACAACATAGGCAATAAAAGTTTAGTATTTTTTTTATCAGCATATAATATTCAATGATTTTTTTGAGGTGGCATTTGGTAACTGTAGCCATTTATTGATTGGTATCATATAAAGTAATTAATTGTTGATGCTTATTTAGGAACATAGAACGTTAAATAATATTCTTTTTCTTGTAGTTGTTTGATTGGGTCACGGTTGGGAACCTTCAGTCTTCTCAGAATCATGTATTTCTAAATCTTTTGTCCAAGGGCTTAAAAGGAGGAGGTATAGTAAATTATAATATGCTAACTATTCATTTCTTTACCTGTTCATTTTTCCTTATTCATGTTTTTCTAGTATTTGTATTTTTAAAAATTGAAATATTCTAATGAAAAAATACAGTAGACATTCTTGTGTATTGTAAATGAAATTGATTTGTTAGTAATTTGATATAGAAATAAATATCTCAAATTCTAGCAATACCTTTATTCTGTTTTAGGAGCGTGTATTTAGTTTGATATTGCTGTTCATATGTAACATCTTACAAAAAAAAAAAAATCTTTGTCACAACCAATATAAAATTTTCAGGTGCCCATACAAAAGTACTTGTCCTCTATGTGCTTATGAGATTGGATTTGTACATCACATAAACCCATAATGTACATGGTTCATTTTAGGATAGTAAACTAGTTTGAGGCCATAGTTATATTGGCTTATGTACTGCTCCTATAGCAAAGCAATTTATACGAATATGGGCACTTAGATTTATGATTTTCCATCTTATTCCTACTTTGCTCTTGTGCTACGCCAATCAACCCTAAGAAATATAAATGCAATTTCCATTAAAAAAAAGAATATAAATCAGGACTTGACAAAATAAGCTACAGATACTTTATTCATCTTTAATATTGGCTGTTTCTGGTGTTTTTAAGAAACCATGGCTTTACAGGCTGTAGCTTTTTGTAATGAGTGCAGATGTTACTGTGTCCTATTTTTGTGCAGGTTTCAAAATTGGATTTCTCTGGGGAGATGTTTGCACTGGCTTTCCTTTATAAAATGTATCTGGGTTTGGTCCTTCTATTTTTAATCCCTACAAATAAATAAATTTCATACAGTAGTGCCTCTGAAGCAATATGAAAAATTAAGACGAGGCCTTCCATTTACTTGGCTTTGATTCATAAGTGCTTATGAGAGCTACAAGAACACTCATATTCTCATAATATGGAACTAGATTTGGGATTTAAAGAGATATGCCCTTTTTCATTTTTGTTTATACATTTTATTTTAATTCTCTGATTGTTATTACTATTTACTTGATTTTTAACCTGCCTTTTCACAGAACAGCTACCAGTAAGTGAGAGTAAGCTGTTACTGAGATTCTTCCTTTAAACATCTGAAACCAATTCTGTAATGAAAAGTATATTTTCCAGTATTTCAACTGCAGGAGTACCAGTTTTATTTTATTTTATTTAGGTCGCTTTGGGCAAACCACTCCTCCACTTGTTGATTTCCTTAAAGATATTTTAAGAAGATACCCAGAAGGAGGGCAAATTCTTAAGGTAATTAAAAGTATTGTACCTATCATCTAATATTGTTGTTGTTTTGTTAGTTATGTAATATTGTTTGTCAGTCCAGCCTTTCTACTGTTTCCAAAAAATTGTAGTGAAATGGGCATAGACTAAAGGATATTAGGTTTAGAATTCTAGATGGTTGTTAAATTTAAAAAATAGCAATAATGCTAAAAGGAACAGGGAGCTGAAACTTACTCCTGTCTTTTCCATCTTGATAAATCATGGCATGTTGTGATACCACAGCAAATTCACTAACTGTGCAGAGGCAGAACCTGAATGGAACTGTGTATCCCAGATAGATTTATAAATACATTTTCCCCAGAGAACGAGCTATTATTTGCATACCTAAAATTTGGTACTAAGATTTCATAACATAATTTTGAGAATCATAACTTACTGATTTGTCAGTAAAGAATATTGTTTCATATGAACGTTTACTTTAAATATAGAAGCTGAATTATAAAGGGAAGGTATAAACAACTTTTTCCACACCTAAATGTTTTGATAAGAAGCAAAAGAATTTGAAATGCTAATCAAAAATATTTGATCTAGTTTGTGGCAAAGAGAAGATAAAGATAGTGCCAACACTGACCTTCCGTAGGGTTTTGCCTAAAGTTGTGATTAGTTAGAATAGAATAGAATAACAGAGTTGGAAGGGACCTTGGAGGTCTTCTAGTCCAACCCCCTGCTTAGGCAGGAAACCCTACACCACTTCAGACAAATGGTTATCCAACATCTTCTTAAAAACTCCTAGTGTTGGAGCATTCACAACTTCTGGAGGCAAGTTGTTCCACTGATTAATTGTTCTAACTGTCAGGAAATTTCTCCTTAGTTCTAAGTTACTTCTCTCCTTGATTTGTTTCCACTCATTGCTTCTTGTCTTACCCTAGCTTGACTCTCTCTTCTTTGTGGCAGCCCCTGAGATATTAGAACATTGCTATTATGTCTCCACTAGTCATTCTTTTCATTAAACTAGACATACCCAGTTCCTGCAACCGTTCTTCATATGTTTTAGCCTCCAGGCGCCTAATCATCTTTGTTGCTCTTCTCTGCACTCTTTCTAGAGTCTCCACATCTTTTTTATATCGTGGCGACCAAAACTGAATGCAGTATTCCAAGTATGGCCTTACTAAGGCATTATAAAGTGGTATTAACACTTCACGTGATCTTGACTCTATCCCTCTGTTTATGCAGCCCAGGACTGTGTTGGCTTTTTTGGCAGCTGCTGCACACTGCTGGTTCATATTTAAATGGTTGTGCACTAGGACTCCAAGATCCCTCTCAAAGTTACTACTATTGAGCAAGGTACCTCATATATTGTACCTGTGCATTTTGTTTTTCTTGCCAAAATGCAGAACCTTACTTTTTTCACCATTGAATTTCATTTTGTTAGATAGCGCCCAATGTTCTGGTCCAGAATGCGGCCGCGCGGGTAGTTACGGGAGCTGCATGGCGCTCCCACATAACACCTCTCCTGCGTGAGCTGCACTGGCTCCCAGTGGTCTTCCGGGTGCGCTTCAAGGTATTGGTTCTCACCTTTAAAGCGCTCCATGGCATAGGACCTGGATATCTTCGAGACCGCCTGCTGCTACCAATGGCCTCCCACCGACCTGTGCACTCCCACAGAGAGGGCCTCCTCAGGGTGCCATTGGCCAAGCAATGTAGACTGGTGGCCCCCAGGGGGAGGGCCTTCTCTGTGGGGGCACCTGCCCTCTGGAATCAACTGCCCCCAGCGATACGAAGAATTCATGACCTTGGTGCCTTCCGCCGTGCCCTGAAGACCTTTCTTTTTCAGCAAGCCGGGCTGGCTTAACACTTTTTAAAATGTTTTTAATAGGTTTGTTATTGTTCTTTTAATTATGGGGCCAAACGTATATATATCTTTTTAACTGTATTTTAATGTTTGTATCTATGTTTTTTACTTTGGCTGTACACCGCCCTGAGTCCTTCGGGAGAAGGGCAGTATATAAATTTGATAATAAATAAAAATAAATAAATAAATGTTCGAGTCTGTCAAGATCCTTCTGTATCTTAAGCCTATCTTCTGGAGTGTTGGCTATCCCTGCCAGCTTGGTGTAATCTGCAGATTTGATGAATTCCCCATCTATATCCTCGTCCAAGTCTTGGTGAAGATGTTGAAGAGTACTGGGCCTAAAACAGAGCCTATTCCCCTCTATGTAGATGCAGTTCCAGATTACATCTCCACCCCAGGCCACCCCAATGATGCCCTTAAAGTGATGTCCCAGTGCCTGGAGGCCGTGCGGGCCTGGATGGGGAGAAACAGGCTCCAACTCAACCCCTCCAAGACCGAGTGGCTGTGGCTTCCGGCGTCCCGATATAGCCAGCTGACGCCATCGCTGGCTATTGGGGGCGAATCACTCGCCCCCACGGAGAGGGCTCGTAACTTGGGCGTCCTCCTGGACGCACGGCTGTCGTTAGAAGATCATTTGGCGGCCGTGGCCAGGGGGGCTTTTTATCAGGTCCGCCTGATACGCCAGTTGCGCCCCTTTCTAGATCGGGACTCCCTACGCACAGTCACTCGTCACTTCCCGCCTGGACTACTGCAACGCTCTCTACATGGGGCTCCCCCTGGGGTGCACCCGGAGGCTCCAGCTGGTCCAGAACGCGGCCGCGCGGGGGATTTTGGGGGCGACGAGGCGCTCCCACGTGACACCTCTCGCAAAAAGGAAATATAGAAATTGTAAATTTAATTGAAATGACTAAACACTGTTTAAATTTGTGAACAGGCCAAATACTCTGTTCAAAGAAAATACATTGTATGTTTGTATGTGTGTTTCTAATTATTGTTATTTATTCATATTTGTTCTCTTTTATTCTTTAAAGTTTAACAATTCATTCTTTATCTGTCGGCTGGCGACCCCCAGGGGGAGAGCCTTCTCTGTGGCGGCGCCCGCCCTCTGGAACAACCTCCCCCCAGAGCTACGTACAATAACAGACCTCCGGATTTTTCGTCGGGCCCTGAAAACCCATTTATTTCAACTAGCTGGGCTAGCTTGAGTCAAATTTTAAATGGATTTTAAATTGGAATGTTTTAATTACGGCCAAAATTATTTAATTATTTTAAACAGTTTTTAGATTTTGTATGTTTTGTATGTATGTCTTGTTTTTACTTTGGCTGTTCACCGCCCTGAGTCCTACATTGGAGAAGGGCGGTATAGAAATTTAAACAAATAAATAAATCTTAATATCTTTATATTTGTTTGGGGTTGGCTTTCTTCCCTTTCATCTTTTTTATTGTACAGCAATCTTTCTCCTCAAACCTACCACCTCTCTTTTCTTTCCTTCTTACTTTCTCTTCCTCCCCCTCTTCTTCTCCTCCCTACTTCCTCTTCCTTTCTCCTTCTCCTCCTCTCTTCCTCCCTCTCTCTCCTACTCTAATTTCCCTTCCCTTCCTTCATCCCTCTCTATTGCTGTATCCTTTTATGCATATGGACTACTCAGAGGGCTGAAAAGGTTATTTCTGACTGGTCCTCGCACTTTTGATCAGTCCTCGAACTTATGATTGTTTTACATTTTTGCCCTATCTTGTCACCATGGTGAAGAGCAGTTGTGAAATGAGTGACATGGTTGTTAAGAAAGCTGCACAGGCATAAATGTGAGGATGGTCATAAGTGTGAGGACTGGTCAAAAGTGCGAGGCCCAGTCAGAAATGACTTTTTTCAGCCCTCTGGGTAGTCCTTTTGTGCATATGGACTACTCAGAGGGCTGAAAAAGTTATTTTTGACTGGTCCTTGCACTTTTGACCAGTCCTCAAACTTACGACTGTCCTCACATTTTACGTTTTTGCCCTATCTTGTCACCATGGTGAAGAAAAGCAGTTGTGAAATGAGTGACATGGTTGTTAAGAAAGCTGCATGGGCATAAATGTGAGGATGGTCATAAGTGTGAGGACCGGTCAAAAGTGCGAGGCCCAGTCAGAAATGCACATAGCCACGCCCACCCGGTCACATGACGAGCTACCCACGCCTACACAGTCACGTGACCAGCTAGCCACGCCCACCCAGTCACATGATTGCCAAGCCACACCTCCAACTAAGCCACGCCCACAGAACCTGTTGTTAAAAAATTGAATCCCACCACTGGTGAAAGGGCCTCATAAGCCTAGGGCCTCTTTCAATCTAAATCCGGCCCTGGTTGTATCTTATGATTTATGGTGAATGCATTTTTATGATGACTATGATCATGACTTATCACTTATAGCTTGTATGTACAATGAGAAGGCAAATTCCTTGTGTGTCCAATCACACTTGGCCAATAAAGAATTCCTGTTCTGTTCTGTTCTGTTCTGTTCTGTTCTGTTCTAGTCTAGTCTAGTCTAGTCTAGTCTAGTCTAGTCTAGTCTAGTCTAAAATAGAATAAGCTGGAAGGGACCTTGAAGTTCTTTTAGTCCATACAATAACAATCAATACGTACACATGTCTGATCTTTGTTTCAAATGATAAACATCTGTGGATGCTGGGTGGATTATCTGTTGCATGCAAATTGACAACTGCATTTAATATATTTCACATATTTTTTTCTTCTTATATGCCTTTAGTTCTCTCTGTTTTGGTTCCATGCTGGTTACTCGTGTAGAAATGGTAATCTTGGTAATTTAAATTGGAATCTTACTATTGCAAGAATGATTTGAGTTTGCATGTATGTTTGTTATTACATTAGAGTGCCTTTAAAATATAATACAATGGTTGGTGTGCCACGGGGGGGGGGAATCTTAGTTATCCTGGTAAGAAGATGTTTCAGTTTAGAAAAAATCCCTTTGCAGATTCTTGAAAAAAAATAGAAACATATAAACAATTCTTACATAGTTATATATCAGCAGGTTTTTGAATTAGCTCGTTGGCAAACTGTAACAAAAGAAAATAGATTTAAATGGCAGGTTCATTTTTGCAATGCAATAGTAAGTACAATATTCATTGTCGGAATTGAAGGTTGATTTGGTTATCCAAAGAGATGTGTATCCTATGTGTGTGTTGGCTGCCTTTATATTGTTTTTTTTATCTTTTGCAAACGTTATACATAATTATTGGGATAAACGGCAGCCCATGAATTTTGGTTTGGTTGAATGTTGTTCTAAGGCAGAAGTGGGGAACTATGCCCCCTTTATGAGTTGTAAACTTCAAGTCCCAGAATTTCTGAGCGAGCACAAGTCCACAAGTCATAAAAATTTCAAATTTCAGATTTACAGAGTTGAAAGGGATCTTCTAGATCATCTAGTCCAACCCTCCACCCAAGCAGGAAACCCTACACCATTTCTGACAATTGGCTGTCCAGTCTCTTCTTGAAAGCTTCCAGTGATGAAGCTCCCACAACTTCAGAAGGCAACTTCTGTTTATTGTTCTCACTGTCAGAAAATTTCTCCTTATTTCCAGGTTGAACCTCTCCTTGATCAGTTTCCATCCATTATTCCTTGTCTGGCCTTCAGATGCTTTGGATAATAGCTTGACCCCCTCCTCTCTGTGGCAGCCCCTCAAATATTGGAAGACTGCTCTCATGTCTCCCCTGGTCCTTCTCTTCACTAGACTAGCCATGTCCAGTTCCTGCAACCGTTCTTTGTATGTTTTAGCCTCCAGTCCCCTCATCATCTTGGTTGGCTCTTCTCTGCCCTTTTTCTCAACATCTTTTTTATAGTGTGGTGACCAAAACTGGATTCAGTACTCTAGGTGTGGTCTTACTAAGACTTTGTAGAGTGGTATATAGTACCTCACTTGTTCTTGATTGTATCCCTTTGTTCAGTGGTGGGTTGCCCCCAGTTCTGACTGGTTCTATAGAACCTGTAGTAAAACCGGCGGGAGGCTCCATCCACCAACCTCAATGTCATCAGGAAGCTTCTGCACATGAGCAGAAGTACGCATGTGTGAGCAAAGTGTGCATGCACATGGCCCCATTGCAAACCAGTAGTAAAGATAAGTAGAACCCACCCCTATCTCTGTTAATGAAATTTAGGATTGCATTGGCTTTTTTTGGCTGCCGCTGCACACTGTCAAGCCATAGTTCCCCACTACTCTATCTTAAGGGGTGAATGAATGCAATTGTTAAATTCATAGGAAGTGTATGTCACTGATGAAGTAGATTCATAGAACACAGCATACATCACTGCAGAGGTTTCAGTCGACATGTGCTAAATAATAATTGATTCTTGTGAATTGTAACACATATGTGTGTCCATATAAATATGTCTGTCTCTGTGCTCATGTTTTATTCATATTGCTTTGCTTAGGAGTAGGAGTAACTGCTAGAGTGCAGTTTTCTCTTTCTCCAAAATAGTACCATGTTTCCCCGAAAATAAGACCCTGTCATATTTTTTCAAACCCTGAAATAAATGCTTGGCCTTATTTTCAGGGAGGTCTTATTATTTTAGAGCGCTTGGGGGAAACCAGAGGAAATGGTGGGGACCAGCT